GGCAATTAGTAATATTGAAGTGATTTCAATATTTCTATTATTTGTACATATATTAACGTAATATCTTATGTGATCCATAATTAATTCAGAACTTGCATAAAATATTATACAGTCATTCAATAATTTTACCATGATTATTGAACTTATACGATTTTCTTATATTTTTGAAGTATTACATCATAGACAATGATTTTCATCAGTTTTATATTACTGAATGAAATATCGATGCTACGACAAATCAGTTCATTATGTAAAAAATAATTTAATTGTACATATACTTGTTTGATTCTAATCCTTAATTAGTTAGTGTTATAATGCAATTGTATATACTAGAAAATGTATCCAATATTTGATAATTTATTGTCGACAATATCAGATAAATATATCTATGATTTACTAACGTGTAAAATTCTTATTTCTTATGAATTCTAAATAGAAAGTTATATCGTAAATCAACTAGAATACTCAATATTAATTTTGTAAATCTTACCGCAGTTGGTCCAAGCGGCTTAGCGGTTTTCTCAAACTCCGTGCACACCCCTACCAATTCGCCTGTTTTGTCATTTTGACTGCAATCGAACAAATATTTAATTACAGCAATTTTTCTAAGAATATACGAATTTTGCAAAACGTATGTTTCGAAAATAAGAAAAAAATCTTGTATTTCGTTTAGAAATTCATAACACTTGTCTAACACGTTGTTCCTTATTTTTCAGGTGAGTCTAAGAGGAAATCTTTACCTAAGGATAGTCGGTATGATTCTCAGAGAGCGCAAGGTGAGTCGAATTTGCAAACTTGATTAACAATCGAGTAACACAAACTATAATTACAAAAGACTAAATACAGCTTTATGTCATGTTTAATTAGAAGAAACATGTCTGCAGAAATTCCTGTTTCCAAAATCTATTAGCGAACTTACAATTTGAGAACGTTAATCCTCGCTGGCAAGGCAAATTTTTCACAAATCTCCGTCATGTTAAATAATTCCACGTAAATCGCTTTTACCCTCAATTTTATGCCGAGCTTACGATCTTAGACAAGCTCATTCACGCATAATTTAGAAAACTCTGAAACTACGTTTTTCCACGCGAAATTTAAATATCCTTCATGTTCAAATCACTTGAAATCGAATACGGATGACGGCTGTGCCTTCATCTGTTTCGATTTCGATCATTCATTCTCGTAATAAATACAAACTATGCAACTTCCGATTGTTTATGAGGTGTATAAAAATATGAGGAATTAATTTGAAGGATAAAATAAACATTTCTCAGCAATCACATGCATTTTTGTGTCGTACAAAAATTCAATTACATTATGATTCATTGTAATTCGTAATTCAGATTTTCATTTAATTAAATAACAATGTACGTAATTCGTAACTTCAGTTAGAATACAATTACAAAATTAAATTACATTAAATACGAATTACGATATAATTGTATTACATTAATTACGAATTACGATGTAGTTGTATCCCAATAATTTTCGAATTTGGATCTAATTGAATTACATTAATTACGAATTACGATGTAATTGACTTACACTAATTACGAATGACGATGTAATTGACTTACACTAATTACGAATGACGATGTAATTGAATTACATTAATTACGAATGACGATGTAATTGAATTACATTAATTACGAATGACGATGTAATTGAATTACATTAATTACGAATGACGATGTAATTGAATTACATTGATTAGGAATCACGATGTAATTGAATTAAATGTATGGATTAAGACGTGATTTAATGTATGAATTAATAGATAAAACATTTTCACATGTATCATTGAAGTCTAAAATGTTGATAAAAATTGCTGAACAAAATTGTAAATGATCCTAAGCACACAAAGTTACATTTTTATCAAACAGTTCCGCCGTCCAACTGTTCAACTAAAACAATATTTAGAAAACGGTTATTATAAACTTACGATGCAACCCATCAGTACACCAATTATGCAACAGCAAGCTATCCTTTGAGGCTCGCAAGTTCATGGCGCCATGAAAAATTCAATGCCGCATAAATCCCCGCTATCGCACGATCTCAACAACCAAAACTATCATTCAATTTATAAATCCACGCTCAAAGTAGCAAAATCTCGCCCAGCACCCCATAAATCAAATCGCAGCCGGGACAATCAACTTGCAATCAGTGCCTCAATAAGCAAACTTAGCTCTGCTTCGATTCAAAGGCGCATTTATTTCCCATAAGTCCAATAAAGCCTCTCGGTAACCCTTCTCCTCTGTGTACCCTAGTAATCGACTATCGCGGTGTATTGCATAGACCTGATTCACTGGTATAAACGACGCACATAACTCCTTATCGAAAATTTCACGAGCATGAATCACCGTGAAAAAGATAAGTGCTCCGACGGGGACCGGTAAACGCCAGATGAAATATCGAGAAGTCGATGTATCGGGGCGTCGTGACGTTTACCTGTTCAAACACCGCGACAGCCACTACCCATGGTACCATTATTATGTATACAGGGTGTTTCCTCAACTTTCGCACGCAATCTTGCCAGCGGTTCTGTCAATCTGACAAAAAATAAAAAGAAACGTTCCGAACGGAAGTTTATCGGTTTCCTATCGGCTACACGATAAAATATTGAATTAACAAGATTGTTATTTTTTTCCACAAATAAGCGAGGTCGCATTCATTTTTTTCAACATCATTCCATGTACTTCACCGTTGCGGAATATGAATTACAGTTCGAACATAATTTTGTCACGTGTTCAATTTATTCGATTTAAAGTTTGCGCTTATGAATGTTTTTCTGACTTATTGTTATTTCAATCATTCTGAGTTATGAACTCCATCAACTAGATTCTCAAGATTCATCGTAATAGCCGACCTTGACACCTTTCTTTTCCTTGAATTTATGCTACTGATAATTCTTTGCAATAGACTGATCAATTTAGCGACTGACGTATCTTATAAAATAAAGCAATTTTCATCTTCGATCGTTTCCGTTTTGACTGACCTCAGATTTCTCGGTACAAGCTCATCCGAAGGTCATGTTATAGCTGGTAGTCGAATTCGACTTGACACGAGCTACAATAATATGAAGTAACAAACATGCAATGCAATTAAAAAAAAATCACGGCGACTACGAATTTTTATTGAAAATATAATAATTTCTTTAAACTCGATATTTTCCCGTGTAGCCGACAATACATCGATAAACTTTTGTTGGGAACAATCTCTGGTCGGATTAACAAAAATGCTCGACAAAAGTGTGCGCAGAAGTTAAGGAAACACCCTGTGTACATATGCGTGTGTATATGTAATATAGATGTGTTATATGCGTGTACATGTGTTTATATGTATGTATACACAGCGGTTTCGTTACGGTCGAACGGTGGAACGAGCATAAAAGCGGCTGCCTGGTGCATGGTCCCGCAAAAATCCGCGGACCTTTCGCTTCGCGGCTCGGCAACACGCTCGGAACACGCTCGCAACACTTCCAGAACACTGGCTCAGACCGGCGACCGTTGTTTCGCGATCTGGTGAACCTGACTCAAGCGTTTCGCAATATCGCGCCGGTTTCGCAACCGATCGGTCCCGACCGGCGCCGAAAGAAAGACGGAGAGAGAAAGATCGTTCTTAATAGTCTGATATAATTGGAAAATCAATATCACCGGGCGTCGTTTCGCGATTGTGAAAACAGCCGGGGGGAAAGGTTGCTGGCAACCTGGCCGATTCGTTTCGATGAATATTGACAGGCTGCCCGGCAGCGAAAGGTGAAACCAGTCCGCGGCGATTGTTATCGGTCTCGTGCTGCTGATACACTTGGTTTATTACACGAGAAATAGACGGATTCGACGTTCTGCAAAAATGGTAACCGTTCGAGACGTTCCGGCGAACTGGTTTCTACGCACATCCTTGAGGTTTTGTTGTCTCAATTGTCGGAGTTATTTTGATGACGATCTTGAGGTGAATTCCCTTCGACGGCTGAGGGCTGTTTAACGCGTTTGCGCTAGCCTTCTTCGGGATCGGCTGGATCTGGCTTTGTGGAACTGCTTGTTTTGTTTCATTTCATTCATTTGTCCACGGCAAAAACCCTTTACTACGAGATATGGTAATAGGGTCAAAGTCCCAGTTACCGACACATTTACCATAATTTTTCATTCATCCATAATTCACTTTTTCTTGCATTTCATGTTGCTTGATACTCTAGTTATGCAATTAAAATATATTTTCAGGCTGTTGAAGGCTTAAATTTNTAGTTCTCTTGTTATAGAAATATATTATATTATATATTATTTATTATAATTATAATTATATATATAATTATAATAATTAATTGTAATTATTTATTATAATATATTATTATTTTATATATTATATATTACATATATTTCTATAACAAGAGAACTAAACAATATGAAATGCAAGAAAAAGTTAATTTTGACGTAAATTTTAGTTGGAAATATATATTTCCAGTATATTTAAAGGATAATTAACGAAAAATTATCCTTAATGTGTCAGTAACTGGGGCACTCTCCCTAGTAACTAGAAAAGTCGATTCGTCTCAAAATCGAATATTCAAGAATCGATTTTAAAAAAAATCGAAAACCGCTTCTAAAAAATCATTTCTTCAGAAAATCGATTCGGAATAGCTCATCCCTGGTTTAAACGATTCGTTAATCACCATTGCGGTGTCGTTCAGCATACTCTTTGTGTCTATATCAAGGTTTAGTGAAAGGTTTAGTTTTACAGATTAATTGATTTTAAATTGAAAATTCTTCTTCTAAAATAATAAATTATACGGAAATTATAAAATTGACACTGGGATGTTGAAAGGTAAGGAGAAAGGGAATTTTCTTATAGTTATTGAGGCAGGGAATAAAGTCAAGCATTCGTAGCCTGTGTTGTAACGCTCGCTTCGATTCGATGCAAATTATGGCTGACCGAGGCAAATCCGTACGGAGCATAGTAGTCGAAATGGTCGATTTAGACGAATAAAAATGCAAATTCCATTCTATTTCTGATCGTCTAGAATCTCGGGAACGTTACTAACCACGTGTAGGAGTATTTGTAACGTGATTACTCGAAACTGGCGGAGCTCGTAAAACCGATTACTCCACGGCGATGATGGTCGAAAGCAGGACTTGAATAAAACTATTTAAATTTTCGATTGGTTCTAATGTAGCAGTTGGTTTTTCATTTTGAACCTTTTTGTTCAAAGAAAACAGTTATAAGTGCGCTGAAACGTTTATTCCATATATTTAGGCATTAAAAGAATATTTTTTATTTTTCGGATATGCGAAAAAGTTGTTATTCGACGATAACAGTTATTCTCTTTTGAAAAAGTTAAAGTACTACATATATTGTGAAGAAAGTTAGTTTTCAATTTTTTATAGTAGAGACTCTCTTATNNNNTTCTCTTGTTATAGAAATATATATAATATATAATATAATAAATAATTATAATTATATATACATATATATATAAATAATTATATAAATATATATAAATATTCATAAATAATATAAATAATTATATATATTTCATATTTTCTGAAAA